ACACACACAATCACACACACACTCACTCTCTCACACACACACACAAACACACACACACTCTCACACACAGACACACTCACTCTCACACTGACACACTCACTCTCTCACACACACACACACACACACTCACACACATACACTCACTCTCTCACAGACTCACTCACTCTCTCACACACACACACACACACACACTCACTCTCTCACACACACACACAAACACACACACACTCTCACACACAGACACACTACACACACACACACACACACACACACACACTCACTCTCTCACACACACAGACACACACACACTCTCACATACAGACACACACTCTCACACACAGACACACACTCTCACACAGACACACTCACTCTCACAGACACACACTCTCTCACACAGAATCACTCACTCTCACACTCACAGACACACTCACTCTCACTCTCTCTCACACGCACTCACTCTCACAGACACACACTCTCTCACACAGACACACTCACTCTCACAGACACACACACTCTCTCACACAGACACACTCACTCTCTCACACACACACACACACACTCTCACACAGACACACTCACTCTCACTCTCTCTCACACAGAATCACTCACTCTCACACTCAGACACACTCACTCTCACTCTCTCTCACACAGAATCACTCACTCTCACACTCAGACACACTCACTCTCACTCTCTCTCACACAGAATCACTCACTCTCACACTCAGACACACTCACTCTCACTCTCTCTCACACAGAATCACTCACTCTCACACTCAGACACACTCACTCTCACTCTCTCTCACACAGAATCACTCACTCTCACACTCAGACACACTCACTCTCACTCTCTCTCACACAGAATCACTCACTCTCACACTCAGACACACTCACTCTCACTCTCTCTCACACAGAATCACTCACTCTCACACTCAGACACACTCACTCTCACTCTCTCTCACACAGAATCACTCACTCTCACACTCAGACACACTCACTCTCACTCTCTCTCACACAGAATCACTCACTCTCACACTCAGACACACTCACTCTCACTCTCTCTCACACAGAATCACTCACTCTCACACTCAGACACACTCACTCTCACTCTCTCTCACACAGAATCACTCACTCTCACACTCAGACACACTCACTCTCACTCTCTCTCACACAGACACACTCGCTCTCACACACACAGACAGACTCACTCTCTCACAGACACACTCTCTCTCTCACACACAGACACACTCACTCTCACACACACAGACACACTCACTCTACTCTCTCACACACACACTCACACACAGACACACTCACTCTCTCTCACACAGACACACTCACTCTCACACAGACACACTCACTCTCTCACACACACTCTCACACACACACACTCACACAAAC